AATGTTGTAGTGGTTGGGTTGTTGGCTGTGTAAGTGGGTCGCTAGGTGGTTCAGGCATTCTCAAGTGCTTTTGTGTGTTATTAAAGGCGTCGCTCTTAATGATGAATTGTTGCAACGTTCATTAATATGCATGCATATTTTAGTATGGCTGTGAGTGTTCGATACATATAGTATGCATATGAATGTATACATATGCATGTGTGTGTGTACACGTATGAGCTGGCAAACTTACGCATTGCTGCTTGAGTTTCAAGCAACATCATTCTCATGTCAATGTGCCATTTGCCTTTAAGCTCCTTTTACATTGAACTTTAATGTAGGACTGGCAATACTAAGAAATGCTGCTATTTCTGGAAAAAATAAGTCATTAAAAGAAAAGCCAAGCCCGTTGCCCAAAAATATTTTTTAGAACAGTTATCATTGCAAAAATTGAATGCAATTTGCTTTAGACACAAAATAATTCGTCACTATTCGAAAATTTAATTTAAGTCTTCAAAGCTTATAGACATACTGGCATGTAAATCTTCATTTTAGTAAGTATATTTTGTATAATTTCTTATATAACACTTAGTAAGATTTATTTACCATTTCTAAATAACATAACCGAGTCCAGCTTTTTTTAAAAGATGTAAGGTCTTCTTGAACTTGAAATCACACTTGTCTACTAAATTCTTATTATGCGAATAGAAGTTTAAAGTAGATTATTGGCTATTATTGAAATGCAATGCAAAACTTACAAAATATGCCAAGTTGTAAATCATTTTGTTCAGCATACCAGGAATTGGCCTTTTGCTTACAGCAATAGTATTTGTAATTTATTTTATTTTGGTTCCCATGTTTCCGTACTCGGTTGCTCATATCATAAATTTTGCTATTAAACCAATAACAATCATAATCTTCGATATAATTTCTACTTTATGGTCATACTTTTATTGTTTTTGTTGTTGTTGCTTCTCATCACCTAGATAAAAATTTACACATTGATATGTTTTTATGAGTGCAGGAGGAAGGGGAGAAGAAGTAGGCCAAAGGCATCATAGAGCGACAAAACGTAAACAAATAAACAAAGAAGAAGAAAAGCAGCCATCAAATCCCAATTTCAATGTAAAATACCGCAGACACAAGAACACACACACACTTACATGGTCTTACATATACATATACATATATGCAGGAGTATGTATAGTATATGTACAAATATATATAAATACACTAGCATGCACACATGCGTGCGTAATGTGTGTTGACAATTTATACGCTTGAATAAACACGTAGACAAAAGGTTGCCCCTGAGGCCAAACACAACAAAAACAACAACAACAACAGCAGTAGCAAAAATGCCTACAACAAAAATAACAACAAGAACAATTTGACAAAACCAGTAAAAAGCCATAAACTATAATTCTTAGCCAGCACTAAAATTACGCTTACGATATTGGCCTAACGGTAGCTGTGGCTCAAGCTGCGGGCCATTGTCTTCCACTGGATTTCTTTGCCTGTCTTCTGGCTTTTCTCGCTCTTTTCGGGTTTTCCTCTTTTTTGGCACTACACAGAACAAACTCGTAATCGTTGGCAATAAAATGGAGCCGAGAAGCGGGAGCATCAACATATAAAGTATTATCGAAATTGTCAACTCGTCTGTGCTTGCAGAACAACGTTTGTAGTTGGCTGTGGCACCCCTTGCTTCCGAGTATCCGCGTAGGAACATAAGTATATGTGTGTGTCTTTGTGGATAGCAATAAAAAGCACATAAACACATAAATCGTCATTGGTTAACATTGGCAGACCATAAGTAAAAGGCACAAAGGCCTATTAGAACAGATCCAGTCGGAGAAAAAATAGTGCTTGCTTTTAGGCGCAGTACAGAATGCAATTTTCTTAACCTTAGTGGGTAAAAGTCACAAAAGTTCTACAAAGAAAACACACGACCACTAAATCATCTACAAATGTTTATAATAATTTGTGATAATAGGGTGTTTTACGAAATAAATACTTTTGCAGACCAATCATAGGTACAAGTGTCCTTACAACAAACATTGAGTTTCTTAGGATGCGCTGTTCATTTCCACAGCTCAGCAATACTTAATTTGTGAATTAAAAAAATATATATATATAATTTATTTAATATGTTCGCCTTGGCTCACTGATTTGGGATATATATAAATGAAGTCCTTAATCCTATTAAACCTATTGAAAAGACAAGACTTTAGCTTGAGTTTAATATTTGATCAAAAAAATTAAACTCAAAGAATAATCATTATTTTGTAAGTTTTATTTTTTCCTCAACAATAATGATTATTGCTTAATTTTTAAAGTAAAACTCAAATTAATCGAATCATTAAATTGGGGGCACATGGGAAAAATTTAAATTTGTAAATCATGTTGAATCTTTAAAAAGGATATCTGTAAATTCAACAAACAAAATTATCATTATTTGCGGTCCCTGATATTTTTTCAAAAATATACAATAAAAAGAGAAAAAAAGAAAGAAAGGTAATGAATGCTTGTGAAACTTTATTTTAGTCCGCCTCGATGAGCGAAATGGAACACTGTGCGTTTGTGAGCTGAAACTTCTCTCCCATACATGGATGGCAAATTATAGAAGTTATGATTGACTTGTGTATTCTGATGTGGTTGATCTCCAATGAGCTGCTAACAATGAAAAAGCCAGTAAGGCATGCAGAAAACATTGCATGCTATGTTAGCTGATAATCAAATGAGTTGATGGCAAGGTCACAGAAATAGCCAAAGCAGATATGTCGATGTGAAACATTTTTGAGATGCCTCGAGCATTGCACTCAGACTCAATGCCCTTCACGAGTGTTTTTTGTTCCATTTTTTTCGTTTTCCTCTGCCTTTGCCTTTGTCAATAAAATTGTGCCGCATAACCATGAAAAGGCTTTGACTGCCGCTGGTGACGCTTTTTATAAACGAAAAGCGTTTTTATGACAAGTGTCATAAAAATAATTCAGTTTCCTTCCTTCATTCCTTTTCGTTCTTTTTTTTTTTTTTTTGTTTTAGCGTTTTATGTGTGCTTTGGCATTTGGCGTTAAAAGTCAATTTGCACAATTTATTAGCAGGCACAAAAAAGTTACATTTTATTATACAGTTAATTCAGTTAAATGTGCACAGCTGCATTCAATTTTCGACTCGATTCATTTTGGTTAGGTTTTTGTTCTTATTTTAATTTTTAAGCTGTGTTTTTTTATGTTTGCGATTTCGCGCATTTCACACTCCACATAAGAGATTAGACTCATGTGGTTTTGTTGGCCGCCAAATGAGCGTCGAACTGACGCCTCATCCACCCGTTCAGCAATCAGACTTATCAAATCTATTTCGGAGTATTTGAATTAATCACACGCTGTCTGGCTAAGCATTCAGCTTAGCAGTGCTGTTTTTGCAATTAGGAGGAGTTGACGGACTGTTTTAGTGGAAGTGGATAGCGGAGCTGGATTTTAAACGATGTTGCAATTATTCAGTGATATGTAGCTAGTATACGAATATATGATAGGATGGAGCTCAACCTACGCTCTTTTTTGATTTATATTATTTTTTTTATTTTGTTGCAATATATTGTTCATTTGTTAGATTAAAAAATGTGTTGTCCTACTTTCTTATTTCGAGCACCTTAGGCTCTCCTTGTATTAACTTCAAGTTAGAAAAATATTCGAAATATTTGCATTTATAATATATCTAAAAATTAAATGGAATTATAAGAGTTATAAGAAGCAAAATTGAATACAGTTTAATCTTAAATTTTGGAAAACATTTGAAGCTGTTAAAAGTTTGAATATTAAGTTTCCTTAAACAGACCTAAAATCTGCAATCGAATAAATCATTATCGGAATAGGATACACTAACGTGCGTCTGTGTAAGGAAAAACATACGTACCTCTCGTGTGTGTTTACATTTGTTTTTCCCCAACTGATTAATATTTATACCCTGTACCCGAATGATAAAAAAACATACGAGGCCGTCTCCGAAAGTATAAGAGCTAGAATAACCAAAGTTGATCAATTCTGTTTTTTCTATCGAGATACGGAATTTTTAGAACTCTCGTAATAGTTTAGCAAGTTATACAAAAATATCCCGTGCCTATGTGTCTCATGTCATATAGAATTATACTAACTCTAGTTGTTGCCATGAATATAAAAAATAAGCGCTGGAGGGGTTCAAAAAGTACCGTAATTGAGGATATATCCGCAGGAGTTTTTACCTGATTTTCATAAACATTTTATCACAAAATATTATTTTTTATTTGTAAAGCTTATGTGGTCTCACACAAAATTCAACCAAACTCTACAAATGTCTACAAACTTTGGCTTAGTTTTCTAAGAACAGACCTGCATATGCTTACAATAACATAAAAAATAATAATTTATGTATATATTCTTAAGTAGTAAATGTCAAAGGGTGCACAAAATACAAAAGTTTATACTCTTGTCTCCCACCTTGTTAAACAATGTCAAGTACAATTTTAAGATTCCTTTCGTTCTTTGTTTTAGCCTCTTCGCAGATGGCAAGGGCGTAGAGTTTGTCGGTGTTGCTGTTGGCCGTGCAATTCAATTACCGGCATTCAAATGACCTGAACTGGCGCTGGCATTTTTAGTGCAGCACCTCAGTGTTGTGTTTGGTTTCATTAGTGACCCAAAAGATCGGCCGAACTTGGACTGCCTTCAACATTCCACTTTAACTTTTTCTCCCCATCTGACCGACACGTGTCGCACTGCCAGCGGCAACAACAGGTGCAAATCGAAGTAAAAAAGAAACACAAGTGCAAACAAAAGGCGGTATAAAATCCCAGGACTTACCTGTGGCAGCCATGACAACGCGCGTTGCCAGTGGCGACCACAAAAGTACAACAAATAGTTGTGACATGACATGATAAAGAGGGAAAGTGGAAAAACGGCGAGAGCTTTAAGTGACCGAAAAGCAAAAACTAAAATTGTATTTACACCCACGTTAAGAAAAGTGAAAAACAATTAAAGGACTCTGACATTATGAGCCACCGCACAAAGTTCATAATAAACACATCGGGTAAATCCAATTACTACTACTACAACTATATAGTGCATGAAGGGAAGGAAAGGGAGGAACTTGTGATACGATTAAAGTTATTCGCTGTGCATACGTGGCCAATATTTGCACAAAGGGGGCCAAGGGCGGTCCTAGACTATTACATTTTACGATTTTGCGATCTAACGATGAAGCTTCACTGTTGCCTTTTGCAGTTGAATATTTTGGTGCTCGCATTCCGGGCACGGAATTGGATGCGCAAACAGCAGCCATATTGGAGTTTCTAGAGCAGGACGAGCACACGGTTATCTCGGCCGTGCATGATAAATCCGATGGTAAAATCAAATTTCAACATCGCATTCCCAACGAGGAGGTGTGTTTGCTTTTCTACAAGGTGCCGCAGGTGGGCCAAGGTGGTGGCGGCAACGGTGGCGGCGGCGGCGGCGGTTCAGTCGCCAACGAACCACTGCTTGGCATATTAACACTGGAAGGTGGCCTGGTTAAGTCCATTTACAATTCCGTTTCACGTGTATTTTCTCCACATGCAACGGCCAAGGTAGGTGCAGGATGGATTTTCCAGTTTGCCTCCGGCAAAGAGGAAGAAAAGAAAAAAAAAACATTTTAATCGGATTCACACATAATTCAATTTTTGCAATTCCATTTTCCCAATTATATTTTGCTGCAAGCTTTGCATTTTATTTGTTAATATGTATCTACGTATTTTTATTTCTCGGCAGCGCAACGAATATAGCCCGGAGATAAGCGGTCTGCTGGAGAACTTGCATGTGTCCCTTGGCTCCACTTTAGGGCTGCCACAGAGTGGTAAGTTAAATCAAATAAATGGCATTTGAGAAATGGAAAATTGATTGAAGGTGCGAAAGAACTTAATAAGCCAACACACCAATATTAAATATTGTTGCAAGTTGCACAATTTCTCGCATTTTAAGAACTGCTTTACTTGTAGTAGAATTGCTGTACTATCAGTTACACAAAGGACTATGTACTTGTTTTTAGTTTTCAAAGTCTTCTAAACGTTCAAAGTACTAGATCCTTTTATAGCTGTGCAGCAAAGGGTTCTTGGAAGAACTGTGGCATCTACCCTGTAACTAAAGGCTTTGTACGACTTTTCGTTGGATTTGATTTGAAATGATTGCTCCTAACGGTTGTTAGTTGGTTTCATAAAATAATGTTGTTGGTCGAATCTGATCTGAACCCACATCAATAGGTAAGATATAAAAAGCGCCCTACTGACCCTTGAGGGGGCCTCGGTGGCGTAGTGGATAGCGCATGCGCACACCAAACAAGAGGTCGTGGGTTCGAGCCCCACTCATGGCGAGAGCATGACCTAAATTTTCTCCTCTCGAAAAAACGAAAAAAAAAAAAAAAAAAAAAAAAAAAAACTCCCAAGTGGAGTACAAAGGAAATAAAAAAAAAAAAAAACTGACCCTTGTGCACATATTTGTAGGCATTTCCAACATTAAGGATGAAATCAAATATTGGAAGCAAAAGCTCGGACAAAAGTCTAGCTCACGTCTTGATCGTGAAACGGCTCAGGTGTTTATTGGCATGCTGGAGAATATCGAAAGAAGAATTGGGTAACTTAACACTCCTATAATAACACCTTTGAATAAAAAAGGAACATATTTGTAGTATCATAGAAGGAGATGGCAATGCGGGCAGCACTATCGAAGAGTTTCTCGACCATGCTCATAATCAATTGGACGAACTGTGGCGCCTTCCCTACAACTATCCACAGCAGCGAATGGCCGACTTGCTCGACATTATTGGTAACCGACTGCTGGAGGCCTGTCTTGCGCAGTTGCTGGCCGAAGATATTTGGAGCCTCACCTCGTTTAATGTGAACAATCTGATGAGCCATTGCATTGACACAGTTGACGCATGGATACAGCTGTGTGACTCACTGACGCGACTCTTCTGGCCCAACTATGTGAAGCATCCGTGGGTTGGCGAGCCGCATATGCCCAAACGTGGTCAATTGTTTAAGGAACGGCTTACCGAAATCAGGAATATTAAGCAGCTGTACAAACAAATTGCCTCCTTGCTCGACGACACTGAGCTGCAGGAAATGTTTCAGGAGCATGCACCTTTCAGTGGTAAGGTGGAGGAGCTGTCTGACCTAGAGTCCCACTAATCATTACCTGCTTTACCTACAGATTTCAATATTTTCGACACCTCCATTCTGGGTCAGTCCAAGTGGAACAAAGCCCTGCAGCACTTCGAGCAGGTGCTGCAGCCTATTGATGAGCGTATAGCAACCGCATTGAAAGGACAGCTGCACCACCACCTGAGCAATCCGCGGCAGGTCATCTTCATATTCTCGAAGTACGAAACACTCATACAGCGTCCCACTGTGCTGGAGCTACTGACCATCGAGCGCGAGCAATTTCTACAGTCACTTCACATTCTACTGCAGGATCTGCGAAAGGCGATGACAGATACAAACATGGAGCCGGACACCGGACATTTGTCGGTTATATGCAATGAATGCCGCTGGCTAAAGGTGGTGCAGTATCAGATACAGGAGATTGAGAAGGTTAGCCATTTGATAAACGGTCGCGAGGGCTTTGAAAAGATCAATAAGGCTGTCCAAGAGATCAAGGAGGAAACAGAGTCTCTGCTGCGGACGAACTTTGAAATATGGTCCGGCCAATGCTCCACGGCTGTGAAAAGTGGCGAGCTGAGGTTTGTCACAGCTTACTATCACCCTAATCTTTGTTCTGCAAATTAATTTTTCCCCATTTTCATTCTTTCTGCAGACTTCGCGATGATCAGGCCGTGGTGAAGTTCGAAAAGGAAGGCCGCCAACTAATGCGCGTAACTTTCAATCCGAAGCTGGTCACCTTCTGCCAAGATGTGCGGGAATTTGAGAATCTTGGCTACAATGTGCCACTCGAATTGCGAGCAGCCGCGACTCATGCAGCGAAGCATATGTGTCATGCCCGACGACTGCAGCAGATCGCCACTTTCCACAACACTATTGGAGACCGCATGATTCCGTGCCAGCGTCCGATAATGCTAAAGAATGCCTTGGAGCTTGCAGCGCTTGTGCAGAGCGAAACTGTTGCCTGGCAGGATGAGGCTTCGGTGCTGCGCTATGTGAACACATTACAGGAGGCAGTGTCCAAGCTATCCGCAGACAACACATTACTGGTTGGTTACCATGAGCAGGCTAAGCGAACCGTAAGTTGTTCTGTTCTAACTTGTTTTTTATTTTACATAGTGCTCCCATTTTCCTTTCGATCACCTCTTACTCGGTTTTTATTCTCTGTACCTAAGAGGGACAAGAGTACGAGTATACTTCACTTTGAACGAACCTTATAGAATCGTTCAAATTGAAAGATGTAAAAAGCAGAAGGAGGCGTATCAGTCCTTACAAGCTATGTATATTCTTTATCATATCTGTCTGTCTATATGAACTCCTAGATCTCTGAAACTATAAGATCTAGAGACACACAAATTTGCCCACCGAAGCATTTTATAAATAATATACTTGTATATGCAGTATAAGTTTATTTCGAAATGATTTTCTTCTGTTTTTTTAGATTTACTTGTATATATTTATTCTACACATATGTACAGAGTATTTTAGCTTTTCCACTTGCTTTTTCTAAGCTAATTTATCTTTACTTTCCATTTCATCTCATGTCCTGCCTTATATGTTAGGTAATGAGACTTATGTCCACGGACCTGTTTACTCAATCTCAAATCTGGAAGGACGAGCTGCGCCACTTGCGTGAACTAGTTGCGACCCTGGAGCGGCAGGGATATAGCAATTTGGACGCCTTTAAGTTGCACTGGGACCATCAGTTGTACAAAGTCCTGGAGTACCAGTACTTGCTAGGCCTGCTAGACATGAACAATAAGCTGCCCGACATTCATACAAAGCTAGTGCTCCGGCATCGCGAGCTCTGCTACAGTCCGCCAGAGGAGGAGATACGCGATCAGTACTACACCCAGCTGCGTCGTTTCATTGAACGCCCGTGTGGTTTTCGTGGATTATCCGATCAGAGTACCACTCTGTTTGGGTCCATGGTGACGATGAATCAACAACACTTTGGGCCGCTTTATGAACGAGCCTCGCAGCTGTTCAGCAAGCTCGCGGACTTTAAGCGCATTTGGTTACCTTGGATTGCTCTGGGTTGTGTGGATGTGGAACAGCTGTGTGGCATTCACTTGAGCCAGGCCGATGACTGGGATCGCAACTTTCGCGAATGCAAGCACTTCAGCCAGAAGATCGCCAAACTGCAGCGCAGTGAAGAGTCTATTGATTGTATTGTTATTGATGTTCTGCCCTTGCGATCGGACATCGAGCTAATTGGGCGGCGTTACTGGGAGGCCTTAGCCAGCAGCCTGCGTTCATCTATACTGAGCGATGTGGGTGTGGTGCAAGAATTTTTGCAGAGCGCACTTCAATTCCTGCAAAACATACCCATGGACGAGGGCAGCATCACTGAATCGGGCATGAAGTACGAGAAGATCATGTCGGAGCTTCCGCAAGTTGCCGCCACATTGGACTTGGTGCGTGCAAAAGATAGCTGTCTCGCTGGTTGGTGCAAAGAGCGCGTGATGGCACTGGCTGGGATTCTGCAGCAGTGGGAGCAGCTTCAGCCCCTACTGGAGAACCACGCTGTGATCCTGCAACGTCAAGTGGATGTGATAAAGACGCAGGCACAAACACAGCTTCAGAATTTGCGCAACGAGGCTGAAAAGTTTCAGCTACGCTGGGAGTCCACAATTGCCGAGCTGGAGGCTAACGAACAGGCCACATTGGAGCTCTTCAAGGAGCGTCGAGCACACTGGCAGCAGATACAATTGAAAAAACAACACCTGCTGGACGAGTGCGCAAAGTTCAATATGCATTTTCCGGCGGATATGCTGGAGCCCTTTGTTGAGATCGACGCCCAGATGAACTCTCAGGCTAAGCAGTGGGAGGTGTACGATAATTTCCTAGCCGAGCTGGAGCCAATTATGCAGGAGGAATGGGCCATATACCGTCGACGTCCGTATGTGCTAAACGAATTTATTGGCCGTTGGGAGAGCTCTGTACATGAATCCATCGACCTGCCATCCAAACGCATAAGACAAAGTGTGGAGCGTCTACAAGCCGCACTCCCTGTTCTCCAACAGCTGCAGTCGGATGCGCTTAGCGAACGCCATTGGGCACGAATTTTCAATCTGTTGCACAAACAGCAAACGAAGCCACTGCACAGTATCCTGCTGGCTGATATACTCGACGATATGGATGCACTTCAAGCGGCTGCCCCCGAGCTGGCTAACATTGTTCGGCAGGCAGCTGCCGAGCAAGTTGTGCGCCAGGCCCTGGTTGAGTTGGATCAGTGGTCGGTGACAGCTCAGTTTAAGTTAATTAGTCGTACGGATGCATCTGGCCAGCCGGTGGGGCTTATTAAGGACTATCAGGAGGTTCTCAACAAGATTGGCGATAACCAGTCGCTACTACAGTCGGCAAAGAACTCCGCTGCCTTTGACAGCTTCTCGGATCAGGCGGCCCTATGGGAGAGTCGCCTCAACAGCCTCGACACGCTTCTTAGCAGTCTGAGTCACTCCCAGAGGCGGTAAGTCTTGAGGCAATTATGTAAGTGGAATACGACTGATATACTTTTATGGCAGTTGGGTCTATCTGGAGCCGGTCTTTGGTGCTGGAACATTACAGCAGGAGCAGGCGCTCTTCAAGCGCATCGACAAGGACTTTCGCTATGTGATGCGTGAGATACAAGCGGATCCTCGTGTTACTTCAGTGCTACGAATTAACAATATTAGCGTTATTGTCCAAACATTGGAAACGCAATTGGCACGTTGTCAGCAAAACCTATTGAGTTACATTACGGTAAGTAATGTGTGTTCGGGAAACTTCAAAATTTGAGACTTACAGCCGTGTTATGATCTACTCTTATAGGATAAGCGCAACAGCTTTCCGCGCTTTTATTTTCTTGGTGACGATGATCTACTCGAGTTGCTTGGTCAGGCCTCGAAAGATGCCGATATTGTGCAGCGCCACATACGAAAGCTGTTTCCTGGCTGCCACAGTCTAGGCATTCGACAAGGTCCTGAAACAGGACACTTTATCATCAATGCGCTGCACAGTGCTGAAGGCGATGAGCTAACTCTCAATCAAAGCGTTGAAATGACGGGCGACATTGAGGTAAGAGCAGTAGAAGAGTTTGAGCAGCAGCAACGAATGCAATATACTCTTTCTCAGCATTGGCTCAATAAGCTCGTCGTCAGCATTCAACAGACGCTTCGAGGGCAGATATTCGAGTGCTACAACAACAACAACTTTAGTGAAAACAACAAAACTCTTGACGAGCGTCTGCTCAACAAATACCCCATCCAGGTGCTAGCCACAGCTCGGGCCTTGCACTTCACACGTCAGGCAGAGCAGGCAATAGGCTCCATGGCTTTGGGCAAGCTCCAGCAGCGGCTCGCAGAGGAGATTGCGCACTGTGCCGCCTTGAAGCAAGGCGCTCCCAATGGCAGCTTGCCCGCCTCCAAGTTGCGCGCCCTACTTATCGATCTGGTGCACTATGCAGCTGTCGCGGAGCAGCTAGTGCAGGAAAATGTGATGCATGTCAGCGATTGGCATTGGCTGTGTCAACTGAGATACTACCTTACAGCTGCGACAGTAGGTGGCAGCAAAGGCGGAGGTGTGGGTGTGGGTGATGGGCGGCAGATTTACGTGCGTATGGTTTACGCAGAATTTGAATATGCCTACGAGTTCCTGGGCAATGCCAACAAACTTGTGCATACAAGGCTGACGCACAAGTGTTATCTCATACTCACACAGGCCATGCACATGGGCCTGGGCGGTAATCCCTTTGGAAAAGCGGGCACAGGAAAGACGGAGTGTGTGAAGGCGTTGGGTGCGATGCTGGGACGCCTCGTGTTGGTTTTCAATTGTGATGAGGTCGGTACACGAGCTGCCATAACCAACTAATCTTGTGATTTGTCATTGTCTAACCTGTGCGAGCTTCTATGTGTGCTTTCAGAACGTCGACACGGAATCGATGGGACTTATTCTCACAGGCCTCGCTCGCTGTGGAGCCTGGGGCTGCTTTGATGAATTTAATAGGCTCCAGGAGGCTACACTCTCTGCCATTTCCATGCTCATACAGCCCATTCAGAGCGCACTGAAGGACAAGGCGGCAACGGTGCAAGTTGGAGAACGAACTGCAAGTACCCTGTGACTTAACGCACACACATCACTCCCCCTATTGAGTGTGTAATCTATGTCTCGACCCCCCTTTAAGCTTGCCAATTGATTATTTGTATACCCTGTACACAAAGGTGGAAAGGTTTTACTAGTTTTCTGCGAATGTATGTAACACACAGAAGGAGGCGTTGCAGACCACACAAAGTATATATATGTTTGATCAGGATGACAAGAATCGACCGTGTCCGTCTGTCTGTCTGTATGAACGCAAGAATCTCAGAAGGTCTAAGAGCTAGAAAAACCAAATTTGGTATCCAGAGTCTCCTAAGCCCGAGAAAGGACAAGTTTCTTCATTTTTTCCGATGCACCCCCCACTCTCCCGCTAATCACGATTTTCTATAACTCACGGAATTTGGGGCCCATGGAATTTTTGGACAATTAGAAAGAAAGTTATAGCAATAAGTGTAATCTCTGTCTGCAGCTATTCCTGACTTAATTCTGTAATGCACACATATGTCACTTAAGTATGCATGTATTGGATATATTTTAAAATTTTGTAATTAATTTAAAAAAAATCAATTTTTCCTTTTTTTGGGAGTGGGTACAGGGTATGTAAGAGTTGAGTGCGCTCGACTCTAGTACTCCCTTCTTGTTTAAGTTCAGAATGTTTTATTTGTGAACTCCACTCCCATCAATAATTGAAATAATGTTATTCGCAGGTTCAACTAAATCAGCATTGCGGCATTTTTGTAACCTTGAACCCGGCTGGTGTTGAGTATGGTGGTCGCCAAAAACTGCCCGGCAATATTCAAGCGCTATTCCGACCCATTGTAATGCAACAGCCGGAGCCGGGCGAAATTGCTCGCGTCATGCTCTTCGTTGAGGGCTTTACGACTGCCGCAGACATGGCTGCGCGCATCGTAGAACTCTTCGAACTGTGCCGACAAATGCTGTCGGCTCAGCGGCACTACGATTGGGGACTCCGTGAGCTTAAAACAACGCTCCTCGTCTGTGGAGAGGGGTTGCGTATGCAATTAGCGAGGGCGCCCAACGCTGTTGCTAATGAGCGGGCGACCTCCACCCCCAGCGACGCGGCCGCTAATGATGAAATGTCTATTGTGGTGCGTTGTCTGCGCTCATCGACCATGTCAAAGTTGGCGCAACACGACGTGGCGCGCTTCGAAATGCTGCTACGAACGGTATTTCCTGAAATTGGTGATGAGCCGCCGCCAGCCACTTCGCTACAGGAGGCGTTGACCTCTGCCTTCGGCCCCCTCGCCCTGGGCCCAAATAGTGCACAAATAGAGAAGGCGTTGCAATTGCACGAGCAGCTGCAGAAACGCATGGGCGTTGTTGTTGTGGGTCCTCCTGGCTGTGGCAAGTCGACTGTCATAGCCTTGCTGCGACAGGCGCTAATGGCCACCAACTCGACGCAGATACGCGTGCACACCATCAGTCCCAAATCAATGAGTCGCGTGCAGTTGCTAGGTCGTCTGGATGCGGACACACGTCAGTGGCAGGATGGTGTCCTCACTCATACAGCCGTTGTGGTCAATCAGGAGCCGGCGCATGTCCATTCGTGGATACTGTGCGACGGAAGCATCGACCCCGAGTGGATTGAGGCGCTGAACTCGGTTCTGGATGATAACAAGTAAGTAGTGGGGATCTGGAGGATAACTCACCTGGCTATCAGTCTTTTAAGTTTAGGTTTTTAATTAAGGCCCCGCATTGTATATAGTAGCCGAGTGGGAATCTTCATAAATTAAACAAATACAAGTATATCCATTCGATTAATGCAGCCCATTTCCATAGAGTGAGGCATTCGGTTTTAGTTTTCTATATTGGTTTCGTATTTTGCGCATAAATTCGTAATATGTATAATTTTGCTGCTTGCCATATATATGCTGTATATATGCATGTATAGGTATACTCGTACACTTTAAACCTACATGTATTTCATGTATCATATCTTAAATTTGCAAATATTGTACGGATACGGATATCCCCTATATTACTTAGCTACTAAAAATAAACAGGCTAAAGGCTAAACAGAAATGCAGAAACGATAAAATGAGATTTTAAAAATATTACAGGAAGCCCACTAACACATAATGTTGTGTAACGTAATGCAAGTAACACGTAACGACATTTTACAAATGACGCTCGATTCACAATGAACATATAACTATATATACCTATTAATGAGTGTGTTTCTAAGTGAGTGAGTCTGTGTGCGTATGGGTGGATAAAAAACTTATAAAGTGTGGCTACATGAGCTTAGAATCTAGGTGTGCCGGTTAGCACCTCACTGCTGCGCATGTTGTTGCTGCAATTGCTGTTGCTGCTGTGGCGGTTGCTGATGCGTTGCTGGCGGTGGCAACGCTAGCATCGGTGGCGGCGGCAGTGGCGGCGCATGCGCTGGCCGTATGTGCTGAATGTGCGCCTGGGGCGCCATATGCTGGAACATGTTGCAATGTTGCTGTAGATGATGTTGTTGCTGTTGCGGCTGCTGCTGTTGTGCTTGTTGTTGCTGCTGGTGCGCGTGGCTGGCGTTGAAGTGGTGCTGTTGCTGCTGCTGTTGTTGCTGCTGCTGCGACGTAGGATTCCCATCACCGGGCGTCTGCAATATTATCTCTGGCTCCAAATTGAGCGCCATTTCAGCCTCATCACTCGGCTGCTGTTGCGGTCGCAGTGACGCTAGTGCTGCTGCCTGAGCGGCTGCCACCGCCGAGGCAGACGTTGTGACCCCGAGACTAGGCTCCTGGCCATATTCCTGCTTGATACCATTTGGTGGCGCCGCATACAGTGTGGCGCTCAGATTCTGGTGCAGTATGGGGTGGCAAAGCTGAGGCATGAGTGTGACGCTGGCGATGGGCAAGGCGGGATGCGCAAAGCTGGGTGGCGGGTATAATTGCTGCAACTTATTCAGCTGCTGCAAATGCTGCGAAGTGGCGTGCGCCGGCGACGATGCGTGAAGCTGCGTCAATGTGGTGGTATTGATTGCTCCCGAAATTGTGGCCGCCGCATGCACCATATGCGACATGTTGTTGCGTCGTCGCTGATGCTGCGCTGCTAGCTGTTGGTGTTGATGTTGCTGCTGCTGCTGTTGCTGCTGAATATGTGTGGCTGGTGGTTGTTGTTGCTGCTGCTGCGACTGCTGAGGTTGTTGCTGCGGCTGTTGTGTTTGTTGTTGCTGTACCTGCGGCGTCGATATAATCACCTCAGGCTCAACAGGCACTGGCGGTATAATGGCCGCAAATTCAGGCGGCAATTGGGTTGGATCAGTCACTAGAAGTCCCTTCTTGCGCTCCTTGCGTATTTTATCACGTAGCTTCTCCAGCTGCCTAAAGGCCTCGTTAGCGCGCCGCGCCTTTTTGCGATCCCGATCGCGTTCCTGTTCCAGTCGCCGATATTCAGGGTTCAGGCGTTTAATACGCTTGCGTTCGCGATCTCGTTCCCGTTGTATCATCTTAAGACGCAACTCCTCCTCGGGCGTCAGCTGCAAAAACGGGAAGAGGGGAAAACCTATTAAAGCAAAATGTGGAATGTAAATCGACAATTTGGTATGCGGTGTTATGTGACGTTATCTGTAGGAGGCAAAGGTCGGTTTAGCGTTCAGGTTGTCTCTACCACTACGAACTAAATTCTAAGCTCCGTCCAAGGTCGCTGTCCTAGCTACTTAAGACTAAGCCGTGTAGGTGGGAATGTGTGCGTGTGTGTGTGTGATTTTAAATAGAAACATTGGAAAAATGCTACGTTAGCACGTCGTGCCTTCTTGCGAAATCTATCGCGTTCGCGCTCCATTCGTCGATATTCAGGGTTCAGGCGTTTAATGCGCTTTCGCTCTCGATCTCTTTCGCGCATGATGAATTTGTGACGCGCTTCCTCCTCGGGGGTCATAAGCTGCAAGTAAAGATGGGAATCGGTTGTTGTATCACATGTTGGCACAAGAAGCACATCTGGGATTTGTACGTGAGTGTGTGTGTGTGTTTGTTTGTGTGGGTGTGAGAAAATTATTGAATCAAGCGTATGTAATGCCAATACGAGTATTGTCTTGAAACCCTTGCAGACTCCTGACCCTCCCCTCCGGCTGGCGCATACAGTTCGGCAACAATATCAACTTTATTTTCGAGACGGACGATGTGCGACACGCCTCCCCCGCGACTATTTCACGCATGGGCATTATTAATATGAGGTGAGTAGGAAGTGTGGGTTGATCCTTAGCTACAGTTAGTGCGTAACCCACAGCTACGAGCATTATCCTCTGCAAGCGATAGTAAGGCATGAGCTAGCCAAGGAACCATATGGAGATCTGCTGCAAAGCTACTTGGATGCCAATTTCGAGGCAGCTGCAGAGTGGTTGGAAAGGGAACAGTTGGGGTAAGCTCTCGAATTTGCAAAGTTAACTTCATTACAAGTTGTTGTTGTTGTTGTTGCTCTTTTTTGTGTCAGTCATATACCCGGCATTGGTCGCAGCAGCTTGCTTCATGCATTGCTCCTCCAGCTGCATGGAACTCAGACCATAGAGGAATTTGGTGCGGCCATGCTACGGGCGCTCTTGGGTTTCGTGACCAATGAGCGTCACCAGGAATTTGCGCAATTTGTCCTGCAACGCGCCAATCTCTACATAGCCAATCCTAATCATGCCGAGCTGACGTACTACGACAAGCGGCGTGGTGCACTGGATCAGTATGCAGTTGGGAGCATCGAGCCGGCGTCAACTGGTGGCCAACTGATTGAGACAGCTGCAGTAAAATCTTATCTGGGCATTCTGGATACCCTGCTAGACACTTGCACACTCGCACCCTTCCTGCTTATCGGCCCCAGCGGTTCGGGCAAGACATTGCTGCTGCAACAAGCAGTGCAGGAACATTCAGGATATCAGTTGGCCACCGTGAACTGCTCGACCCAGTTGGCGCCCACCTATCTGCTGAACACACTGCGCCAACAGTGCGTTACAATAAGTGGGCTACGTGGGCGAGAATTTAAGCCCAAACAGGCACGGGTTGTGCTCTTTTTAAAAAATCTGGACTTGTGTCGACTGGATGCCTGGGGTGCCTCCGAGGTTGTGGAGCTGCTGCTGCAGCTGGTGCAGCGTAAAGGTTTCTATGCCGACACCCTCGAGTGGATCAGCGTCAGTGGGCTCCAAATATGCGCATCTATTAGCGGAAATTTGGCGAAGATTGCGCCTCGCTTTTTGGCGATAAATCAGTTTGTGCGAGTGGGCCAGCCAACCGCTGCGGACATGCTTGGCATCGTCCAGTGTCGCATGGAGCCTTTGCTTTGTGGCAACGGGGCGTATTTCAGAACAAACGCTGCCACCACTAATTTGCAGCATGTGAGCGAGTGTCTAATGGAGTTCTTCGCCAAGGTGAGGAGCGCAGAGGCACCCTCTGCAGCAAATGCACTTGTTTATGTTTCTGCTAATTGCTTGTCTGATTTCGCAGTTGCAAGCTACTTTCACGCCCGCGTCACAGCAGCAGGGGCACTACCAATTCAGTCCGAAATGCATTATGAAGCTTTTGGACGCACTCTCGTACTACCCGCCGGGCGATTTCAACGAGGTGGGTGTAGTGCGTGTGCCTGATTAATGGGGTTGTTAATGTTTGACTTTTCATTGCAGGCCTTGCACTGCGAGCTGTTGGCCATGTTCAAGGATCGCCTGGCTACTGAGGAACATGTGCAGCAGTTTGAGGGCATCCTTAAGCAAACAATGCGTAAATATTATGGAAAAGAGGTGAGCTACATTCAACAATTGTGGGTGTTACTAAAATGCGTCTGTTTTGATTAGAAAATCTATTACGTGCCCAAGTCTCCCAAGTCCCTGGGAAAGCTATATGGTCTGACTCACGATGAATGGCTGGATGAGGTGCAACGCCAAATCACGATATGTAGTAAGTAACAAAGATTTAATCTGGGGTTGAACTGACAGGCTGGACTGCTGAGAGCTCCTACTAGAAATGAATGAAATATAAAAATATACCCAACTGCATAAAAGAATGTCCCAAAAACTGGATAGCAGCCCCACAAAATGCTAGCAAATATTCTATGCTTGCCCCAAGCGTTACAAGACAAATCCGGATAAAGATATAAAAACCAAATATATGATTGGAATAACTACACTCGGTCTTGGCGTCTGCTTGCGAAATCGATCACGTTCCCGCTCCATTTGCCGATATTCGGGATTCATACGTTTGATGCGCTTTCGCTCGCGATCCCTTTCGCGCATGATGAACTTTTGGCGTGCCTCCTCTTCAGGGGTCATCCACTGCAAGTACATAGAGAATGGGTAGAAAAAACAGAAAATGTTGGCTCAGAAAACGTTGACTTGTAATAGGTAGGCGAAGAAATTTGTCTATAAAATTCTAAGGCAGCAGCTCATATATCAACTGCTGCATTATTACCTTGAAGTAGACTTTAAAACCGATAGAACGGCTACATAAAGAAGATACTTTGCTATAATATATTAAAAAATAAAAATCTCTAACCTTTGAAAATAGAGCGAAAGTGATAGCATTCATCGTTAATGGACGCTTAAATAATGTTAATATAGAGTCTAATGCTCACTTCCTTAACAGATACTGAGAGCTACAACATTGTGGCGCCTATTACCGAGGAACTACTCCACTACACAGCCCATATAGCCCGCACATTAGTCCGCCAGGATGGGCATCAGCTTATACTTGGCCAGCCAGGGGGAAGGCATGTGGATGCCATATACGTCGCAGCCACCCTACAGCAGGCAAAAGTGTTGCCCCTGCAAGGCGGTCAGAGCTATGCTCTGGAAGACTTTTATAATGATCTAAAGCTGGCGATGCAGACGGCGGCGCTAGAGCAGCAGAACACCTATATGTTGATCGAGCACTGTTGGCTGAGCTACGTTCCGGACATTTTAAAACCAATTGAAGCTCTGCTGGAGGGAAGCGAGATCTTGGAATTATTCGGTGACGAGCTCGAGTCGGTAGCCAGCACCTTAAAACAGGCAGCGCAGTTGGAGGGATATCAAGAGTCCCTGGGTGCCTATTTTATGAAACGTAAGTGGATAGTAGATGGCTTGTTTAGAATTTTAGCTAACCACGTCTCAATTCTGCAGGAGCACGAGAGAATTTACATTTAGTTGTTGTTGTGGATCCAAGTAGTGCGAAAGTGCAGGAATATTTCAACCACTGTCCGGCACTGTATCGTCAGATGACCGTGCTCTATGTGCGGCCTGCATCGCGAGAAACCTTACTAATGCTGCCAAAAAAGTATATCGAAGTGTTGGGCGAAGGCCGACAAGGGGGAAAAGTGCCTGTGTGCAGCTACTTTGTGGATGCAGTGGAGGATCTGCTACCGGAGCAGGCACCCTGCCGTTACTACCAATTGATAACCAGCTACTATCATTTGTACGACAACGCCGCCTCGGATATTGACAAGCGGCTAAGCAAGCTACAGTTGGGCGTTGACAAATTAGCTGCTGCCCACGCCTTGGTCGACACATTAAAAACCAACGCGAGTACCCAGGAGCAGGCCCTTGGCGAAAAGCGGAAGCTAGCCAATGAAGCCCTCGAAATGATTTCGGCCACCATGCGAAATGCGAACGAGCAAAAGTCCAGCATGCTGGAGCTGAAGAAGCAGACCCAAGAGAGCAGCGAACAGCTCAAGGTACGACAACGCGAAATTCAACAAGAGCTGGCTGAGGTGGAACCCATATTGGCGGAGGCGAGCACTGCCGTAGGCCAAATCAAGTCCGAGGCTCTCTCCGAAATTCGCTCGCTGCGTGCCCCACCCGAGACAGTGCGTGACATACTCGAGGGCGTGCTCCGACTGATGGGAATACGCGATACCTCTTGGAACAGCATGAAAACGTTCTTGGCCAAGCGTGGCATCAAGGAGGATATACGCTCGCTGGATCCAGCGCGCATCAGTCCCGAGAACTGCGAGGCGGTTGAGCGTCTCCTGGCAGCTAAAGGGGATTCCTATGAAATGAAGAACGCCAAACGAGCCTCGGCTGCGGCAGCACCTCTGGCCGCCTGGGTGAAAGCTAGTGTGCGATATGCACGAGTTATACAAAGCATCAAGCCTCTGGAGCGGGAGCAGGGAGAACTGCAACGCAATCTGCAGGCAGCCGAAGGTGAAATGGAACAACTTGCCACCGGACTTGATGATGTGGATAAGCGTGTTAAGCAGCTATCGGCTAAGTTGCAGACATACACACAAGAGGCCGCCGTCCTAGAGCTGAAGCTGGAGGAGGCGCGTGGTACTTTGCAAGCTGCACAATTGTTGGTCGAGAAGCTGAGCGCAGAGTATGCTACTTGGAGTGAGCAGCTGGCCAAGCTGAAGCAGGCACACAAGACCCTTGACACAAAGATGTTGCTAGTAGCGTTGGCTCTCAATTACTTTGCAGGCCTAGCTCTGGATAAGCGCAGGTAGGTGGCTGAAAAGATAGTTGATGCGGTTTCCAAACGCGGAAAATGTGGTTTCTTACAAAGCAAACAAGTGATTAGCAGAGCCTTTGTTTTGATGTACCTGATGAGTAAAAGGGTATACTAGAATGTGTGAACGCCAAATGTATGTAGCAGTCAGAAAAGGTCTGTTTAATGATATGATCAGCATTACAAGAGGAATCGTTATAAGCATGCCTATGAACGACGAGAAGTCTTAAGCCAGGCATACTGATCTTATCCATAAGCAGGCCAGATTATTACAAAACATAAATAGCCACATTATTTTACAAAGCGTTATCAGGGAAAAATCACTTTTTGTATCAAAAACTTTATCTTTTCGATTATTAAGATATCACACATTTTATATTTATGTGTTTAAAATTTATAATCTCAACTTATATTACAATCGAATACATGAGATAAGGACTCTGGCAGAGATAGGGGCTAGTACAAGGCATGCAAGGTTTGCAATGTTCTTGCGGTTTTTGGAAAAAGAAGTACTGCCATATGTTATATAGAAGATATGTATATGGTATCGTATTTATCGAAGGATAAAAGCAGTAAGAAATAGGCTTGTACAAAGTATTTAACAAGGAGAAAGAAGTATCTACAACCCCATTATGCATAGACATATGTATAGTCCTAATCACCGTGATGAGAGAAATCGATCTAGGCATGTTCGTCTGTCCGTCCGTCTGTCTGGATGAACGCTTGGATTTTGGATATGGCTTAGCCCACATGGACCAAACTTGGAATGCATACTATCCTTATTCCAAGGCAACACAAGTTAATTGTATTGTTTGATTTCGGGATCGCTCTTCATATTTCTTATTATTGCTGTGGACGCATATAACTCAGTGGCGGAAGTTAATGTTGGGTACAGGATACTTCACTGGCATGCTTGTTCCACTTTAGCATTTTATCTTAAAATATATTTTACATATAACTACGTATAAATTGTGATTTAACGTTTTATTAGCAAGCCAAGGAGCGCCTTCTTCTGGATCTAATCTTTATCAGGGATAATTATTTGATTGGTGCCTGAATACCAAATCATTGATATATTTCATTGAAATTTTTAATTTGTACATTTTTTGCAGTTCCTTACTGCAGAAGTTAAGTACCGAAATGCAGTTGTCCAGCGGTTTTGATTTACGTCAGGCGCTGATCACAGAACAGGAGCAAATAATTTGGGAGAGTCAGGGACTGGCGCGTGACGTGCAGATCATCGAGAATGCTGCACTGTTGAGGCAAATGCTCTCACTACCTTTTGGCAGCTGTGCCGTGCCCTTACTACTGGATCCCACTCAGACAGCGTCCAACTGGTTGGCCGCTCATTTACGGAGTAGCGGACGTGCCTACGAGCTAACCACACAGAATAATGAACGACTATCCTATCAACTGGAGCTGGCCGTGCGCTTTGGGAAAACGCTTCTGGTAGTAGACTGCGAGGAACTACGACCGCCTCTGCTGCAGTTGGTGCAGGGCCACACCTACGTGCGCTTTAACAAACGGCAGCTGGAGGTGGGCACGAAACTGGTGGACTTGCATGAGAATTTCCAACTGGTGCTGTGCAGCAAGGCGCCGCGCTTCCAAATGGGTTCGGAGTTTCGTGGCGTTGTAAATGTTGTGCTCTTCACAGTCACTGCTGCGGGTCTTAGCGACCAGCTCCTGTCGAAGGCCATTGTACTAAAGAATTCGCAATTGGAGCAGCAGCGTGTGGAGTTGTTGCAAAAAGAGGGTGAGTTGCTGAAGCAGCGTATGGAGCTGCAGAATCAATTACTGGAGGAGTTGTCCAGCGCCCAAGGAGACATTTTGCGCAACGAGCAGCTGCTTCGCACGCTGGAGGAAGTGAAGCAAAGCAGCGGACAGATCGATGACGCGCTAAAGAAGAGCGGAGCGGTAAGGCAAACGCTGCTGGCCGAATTCGGACCACTGCGCGCCCAATGCGCAAAGGCAGCAGCATTTTATACGGGTCTAATTCTGGGCTATGAACTATCGGCTTTGGTATACATTGAACTCTTCCTTGGAGCGCTGCGGACGCTAGACGCGGAGAAGGAACAAGAAACGCGTGTATACGAGCGTCTTGTACGCAGTGTCTATTTGCATTTGGCCAGAGCTACCCCACGTTCGAGTCAACTGTCCCTTTCCCTGTGGATATGCCGACAGGCCTATGCCGAGAGCATTAGCGCCAAAGAGTGGGAGCTATTTGTGACAAATTTCATGAGCAGTGCTGCCGACAGTAGCTCAATTCTTGGACGCCGAACTCTGCCGGATTGCATGAGTCGTGAGGCTCAGCTGAAGTTGTCGCTGCTATTGCAGCAGCTGCCTACTCTGGAGGACCAGTTGCAACTGAACAAGGATTACGTGTGGCGCGGATTTATTGAACAGCAAACGGATGATGTGCTGCGTAAGTTAGAGGTTTGGGGTAATTTAAAAACTAACTCATACATTTATCCAATTACTTACAGCCGCCATTAGCTCGCCCTTTCAACGTGTGCTCGTGGCTCAAATATTTCGTCCAGATCTGATTGTGACCCAGTTGCGAAGCACCTGTAACCAATTGCTTGGCATTGCCTACGATGCCGGCGTGCAGCCTAGTGTGGAGCAGCTGCTCGAGGAGAGTAGCAACGAGCGTCCCATACTAATGATTACGCAGGCCGAAAATGATCCGGCAACGGAGCTAAAGAGCACGGCACTGCGAAAATGGGGTGACAAGAAATACCAGGAACTGGCCATAGGCCGTGGCATTGAGCAGCGTGCATTGGAGGCAGTGCGACAAGCGGCCGCCCAGGGTCAATGGCTGTGTGTGAAGAATGTGCATTTGGTGCCGCATTGGCTTACACAATTGGAACGCGAACTGGGCCAAATGACAAAGGCGCCGGACTTCCGCCTTTGGCTGGTATGTGAATCGACGGTGGGATTCAGCGAAGCGGCCATCTATCGCTGTCTGAAGGTGCGTTACGAACAGCCGCGAGGCTTGAAGCAGCAAGTACAGCGAATGCTGCAGAACTATGCAGCCATGCAGCTCGATCAGGGTAACAAACAGCAACAGGCCAAGTGCCTGAAGATGCGAGTGGTTATGTTTCTGCTCAGTGCGGTGCTGCAGCAGCGACGTCAGTATGTACCCCAAGGCTGGTCCAAATATTACGAGTTTGGCGAGGCCGATCTGAAGGCGGCGCTGGGCGTGCTCAGCTGGATGGATGCGCAGCTGGCCGGAGGAAGATGCGACTGGTTGCTGCTGCAGCGTCTCTGCGAGTCTGTGGCCTATGGCGGGCGTGTGGATAATGCACGGGATCTGGAAGTGCTCAGAAGCTATCTGAATAAATTCTGTTGCGCCGATGTATTGAGCAATCGTTGGACGCCATTGGGTTTAAGCTTTTCGATACCAACAAGCGCACAACTACAGGACTATTATGGAGCGTTAGACAAACTGCCCGATGTGGATGAGCCGGCAATCTACGGATTGGCCAGTCAGGCGCATCAGCAGCGTGAGATTGAACAGTCACGTGTGGTCATCAAGGAATTGCGTGCTGCCTACTATGGCGGCACAGCTGGCGATGCTGTGAGTACGCCAAGCGCTCGACAGAAACTAGAGCAACAAATCAAGCCAATTTTGAGCCTCTGGCGTAAACTGGCAGTTAATTGTAGTGTGGCACAAACCGTCGACGAAATGCAGGCAATGGAGCAGCCACTGGGCATGGATTCTCCATGGTCGCTGTTTGTCCTTGCAGAGCTGCAATTGGGCTCAAATCTCTACAAGCTTGTGCATCGGACACTGGCCCAGCTGCACGCCTGGCTAAAGGAGACCCAAACACAGGCTGGAAATGTGGATGCCAATGCATTGCAGACGTTGGCCGAGCACCAGGTGAGCCACCATCACATTTCTATCTTCTACAATAACAACTAATGCGTATAATCGTGATCAGGTGCCAGCCACCTGGCAGAAATTGTGGCCGGGACCTGCATCTGCGGTGGACTACCTGCGCGGCTTGATTGTGCGTGCCTCGGAAGCGGAGCGTCGCTATCGCGAGCAGCTGCACGTGAAGTTTGCCACATCCTTGAACCTGGTGCACATTTTCAACTGCGAGAATCTGCTGGCCTGTCTCAAACTGCTGCAGGCTCACACGTTCGGCGTGTCGGCACAATGCCTGCACTTGGTTTGTGTGGGAGCTACTGAGGCGGTCGCTGGAGGCGACGACGGTATTGTTCTGCATATTGCACCGCTTAAGGTGAGTGCGTATAGATGCGGATATATTGGTTTTCCCCCACTTAGCTATTGCTTACACTTTCGCTCGTCCTGCCCTCGACGATGGTGTTTGTGTCTTTTGTCCGTCCACTCGTCTGCTTGGTCGTCTCGTTTTGCATTCTTTTTTTTTGTTTTTTGCTTTGTTTCATTTTTTGGCTTACCTTGCCCATTTTTGCCATAAAATGCGCCTCCAGTTTGCCTGTTTTTCAATCGCACTTGTGTATTTCAGTTTTAATTTTAATTTAGCAGCATTTAAGCAGCGTTTTTCATATATTTCGCTGCAGTTTTACTTTTTTCACGCCGCTTCTCTTTTTGTTGTTTATTTGATTGACATTCCGGCGCAGCAGCGTCTGCAGAGGGTATGGCAGCACTGGCCTCGGCGTTTTTCTGCGCTAGGTAGCACTGCAACACTCAGGGTTGTCTGGTGTGTGTGAAATGGTTTGTGTCTAGACTACAAAGATTGGCCGTTATATTTGAATTATTGCGTCTAAAAAGCTGTGAGAATTGTATCTGTATTTGCAACTTTTTGCAAATACGCACAAATAATTAGCATACGCCAAAAATTAAAATTAAATTTTTTAAATATTAAAAATAAGTCATTGAGTTTAGCAAATTGGAAAAACAGTTAATAAGGGTTGTGTCTAGACTACAGCAGTAAAACTTTTCGTCCGAACAATTTTCCTAACAAAAAAGGCTGTAAAAATGAAAACTAAATTAATATTTATTAAAATAAAATAATAAGTAAACTTACATTACATGTTTTGCGACAGAAGTATTTAACGATAAATATTATATTTTTCATTCTCAATTACAACCAGGGCTACAATATAACAAGAGCAATAAAAAGAATACAATAAAATCCAGAAATGCCTCCTAGGCAATAATTATCAAAAAATGAGATTTTAAAAATAAAGCATCGGAAAAATAAAATAATGTTACGATAATTAAAAATATATAGAAACAAAATCATTAGGAAACGCAAAAAATTAAATTATCAAGAGGGAAATAACATAAAAAGTTTCCACAATACTGATGTATGTACATATGTACATAGTATTTTGTATTCCAGTGATAGACCAACTTAATTTGCGAAAAATTATCACAAATTAGGAATTAAAAAAACTTTAGTTTATTTTACTAAAATAAATATATTTTGATCCAAGTAATAATCAACCTATATTATATTATACATATCTCTTAAAAAACAAAGCTACATAAAACAAAACAGTTAAATCACTTTCTCTTTTATAAAAAAAACCCAGACTTTTTAAATTTTATACAAACGAAGCTTACATTTTATTTTAAGATTTTTTAAGACTAGAAAATAATTATAAAAATTATAAAATAATTATTTTCAGTTGGACGGTTCAGATGGAATAAAGCCAAAATCGTTCGAATTTTATTTAACTTACAAAACGGAAGACCAAATTAAATCGGACAAGAATAAGGCCTTAGGCAACAAATATTCCTTGGATACAGACCAGGCTTCAAGGTCTACAAAACTAAGACTGCCGCTGTACTCGCGGGCCCAACGCGACAGAGTCATCTGCTATTTGGAACTGGAAAACGAGCAAATTACGGAAAGCGAAGCATTACTAGCTGGACTAGCGATGGTAGTCGAGGACCATTGAAATGAATTTAGTTTAAGGCAAAAGGAGGATGGCAGGTTTCATGAAATAAATATTGCTAGCTGGTTTTAAAATCATTTGTCCCAAAAGAAAAGTTCAACTATGTATATTATGCAACAAATTAAAATATATATATACAAATAAAATATAATCATTTTAAAATAAAATCAAAAATATTGAATTTGAGCGTCTGCTCGCTATTAGCTATGGAATACTAATGATTTATTTCTGACTGACGTTTAATTTTGGCTTCCGTATCGAGAAAGGGCTGCTGTGGTTAGTGAAATAATTTTTAGTGTGCCCGTTTAATCAAATGAAATCTGTTATGCCAAGATGGGGAAAATACGGCAACATTTTTTAATAATACGGCCCCATTTTATGCAATTCTAGTTTTCTCATTTACTTGTTGATTTGCTTTAATTTCGATTGCATACTTTTAGGGTTGGTTGTGTGTTGTCAATCGATTATAAATCGTAAATGAAATGCAAAACAAAGTTGCATGCAACCTGTATGTGCTTTGGCAGCAATTTGCCAATAACTTAAAACCTATATACATAGATTCCGCTCTGTATCTCTCAATCCATGTGATTGGAACACTTCAATATTGTTAGCTTTGAGGATATGTAAACGAGTCCAAAAGGTTGCTCCATGTTGTTCTAGCCTTAATAATCAATTAGATGGCATTTTTATTTATTTATTTTATCGACAAACGAAGATACTAAAGAATAAAAAAGCCTACTCAAATTACAAAAATATCTCAAAACGTATCCGACTCGGTGGGAGAACTCTATTTGCCAATTATTTGCCCAAATTACAGCAGAGGGTAGCCAGAGACGTTATTAGAACTAACAAAAAAAGAAATGAAGAAATAGTAATACAAATAAAGTAGAAGTAAGCTTACATTAAAATAACAAATTTAAATTAAAACTTTTATAATAAAAGATAAAATATAATTTAAAAGCTAAATGGGGAGAATCACTGACCCGTTGGGGGAAGATTTATTAGCCAATCCATTTTACTCTATCCTGTTCTATATTCTAAAAACAACTGTTATGTGCGCCCAACCCACTTGTGCATCCTTACGCTGTTATTTAAGCATCTTTTTTGTTGATAAACCCTTTGGGCTCGTTTAATACAACTACCCGAAGCTAAAGATTAAGCGGTAAGAAATTTGGATTTTATTCATTTGACCCCTCCAATTGAAATATTTGGCATATTTTGTGTGTAGACGTCCTTAAAACACACTCAAAAACTCTCATACATACCCAAACGGATGACTGGCATTTAATATTCCAACCTTACCGCCCAAATGCTAATTGTTATTGCCCGAAAGCTGGTGATGTGGCCATAATCTGTTCGTATTAAACTAAATTGCTGTAAATTTCAACAACAATACTCGTATGCGATAAATGTCGGGTTGCGCCTGCCTTTCTGTTGTATCTTCTAGAGGGTAATGTGATTTATCAATTTGTCCAACTACATAAGTCTCCAGCACTAGAACGAGTACATCTAAATGCATATGAACGTAGAAATGTGTATTCTCAAACATCTGTTTGGTAGATACCACCTACAGCCACAAAAACTTGCCTAACTTTAATTAACTGGCATTATGTTCAATTAGGCAAAGTTTTGAATATGTAAATTAACACAATTTATGTGTAAAGTGCTTGGGGCGCTCCCACTGAGGATGCTCAGGAATGCTGCTAAGGATGCTGATGCTATAAGTATTTGAAAAACACAAATCAAAGTTGCTGCAACTGCTGCGTGAGTATTCTGGGTTAGGTGTGGTAAGGTGGGGAGCAATGCCACATCTTGTTTATCCACGGAGTACATTTACAGCGAAGAGCACGTACCATTTGGCAATACATAAATTATACAATTAAAACAAGGCAGCACGAAATTATCATGAGTTTAGTAGTTGTGTGGCAAGGCTTTGAAATGCTAACGAGCAGCGAAATCATGTACAATTTATGAAAATATGAAACTTATGAATGCTATGGTTGCTGCCATTCCGATAATTGGGGGAATTTTCAAATGCTTTTATAATAGCTGTTGTTAATATTGGCATTATGAAATGATATTAATACTACAGCTGCAAAATAATCGATGTTAACTGCACTAATCCTTTTCAATTGGTGTGCGATTTTTTCAAAAATAAAATCAATTAGTTGTCAACTAAGCAAAGATAAATCTTAATTTTGGCAAGTAATGATGGCTTATTCAAGTATGAATTTGAATTAAAACTATTTCGATTCTCCAAAAGCACCCTATTAAATCGATTCTGAATTGATTCTATTTGCAGCTCTAATTAATACAAATATTAATGTTAATACGAATATAGGTTTTATAAAACTTTTATTTTTTAAGAATCTGACTTTAGCGTTTAGTCGTTTACCAAGTTTTTAGCATTTGTAATGCTGTAGCATTTCAAAAACCACCGCCAATTGAATTTAGTCGAGGTACTTAGCTTAGAAAATAAAGAAATTGTGCAAAATAAGTCAATCGCTCTTATGAAACTTATATGGTATTGATGTCAGATTCCGCTTAAATCGACTCGACCAACTTTGACCAAGAATCTACATGAAAAGAAAAGAAGCTTATCTGCTAGCTTAAATATGAGAGACAAGTTAATCGTTAATCTGATCATTTTTGTGCTTGTAGATGTGTATCTGTGCCACGATGCCAATACCAATAAGATAAATATATACCTTTCAAGGGTATAGCAATATAATGTTAATATTATCTATGAAATAAATAACATTAGCTCAGCTTGCCTTTGCAGAAGGGATTAGTTGTACTTTTCTATTTCATGATTCGATTATCAAAATGCAATGCAGGAGCACAATACAAGTATTTGTGTATTCGAGGAGTAAACTACAATTTTTCCAACTACATATTTAGCGCTTTTCGTTATCATTTCAAATTCTAAAGCAGCAAAATAAATTATATGACAACTTACAATTTGTTGAACGAATGATTCTAAAATTTTAAATATTAATTATTTTTATACCTATCTGGCTAAAAAGTATGTGAAACTAGTGTATGTAGATATACACTAGTTCTGTACGATAGGTAGAAGGAAGCAGGGCTGAAGCCCTATGACGTAAATATATTCTCCAGAGGAAATTCAGAATTTCACAATCTTAGTATGTAGGCTCTAATGCCGAGTATATTTAATATTTGAGGGTTTTTTCTTGCCTGTCCTGGCTACATACGTACAAGTATATACAAAATGTTGCACAATTAAAATTCTATTCTCTATGTTTATTTAATTTTCGAAATTGTTTATCCTAAGAACTTACTCCAGAATAGGATAGGAATTTACTTCAAACTGCAGCAGCGTTTTCGTTCTTTTTATACCCTGTACCCGTAGGGTAAACAGGGTATATTAGGTTTGTGCACAGTATGTAACATACAGAAGGAAGCATCTCCGACCCCATAAAGTATATATATTCTTGATCAGCATGACGAGAGAAATCGATCTAGACATGTCCGTCCGTCTGTCCGTCCGTCTGTCCGTCCGTCTGGATGAACGCGAGGATCTCAGAAACTATAAAAGCTAGAATAACCAAAGTTGGCATCCAGATTCTCCTAGGTCCGAGTAAGGACGAGTTTATTTTATTTTTTTTTAATTTTCCCCCCCTTCCCCCGCTACAGAATTTCGTCAATAGCGTCCACATTTCAAATGCTACCTAAACCAAACTTTGCACACATAATTTATATATAATTGTCTACTGTTTGTTCAATTTTATTCAATTCGGTCAATTCTAAGAAAAGTTATTAGCGAAACAAATTCTCGCCAGTCCAACCCCCACAAACTGCAGCAACAAGTTCGCTCTTCTTCTTCCTCTTTTTGTTGCTGCTATGGGCGCATATAACTCAGTGACGGAAGTTTACCTGGGTACAGGGTATTACACTGTCGGGCTTGCTCGACTGTAGCGTTCTCTCTTGTTTTATTTGTTCTTGTTGCTTCTGCTCTGTGATTTTTGGGTACAGACGATTCTATCGAGCTTGCCCGACTATAATGTTCTTTTTTGTTGAACCGTATGCTTTAAAAAACCAAGTAAGTATTGCATAAGGTTGTACTCTTTTGCTCTCTGCAATGGATGCTAATTTCAATAAAAAGTAGAATGCCTTGTCAATCATGTTTCGATCGACTATCTAACTAACTTACTTTTATATGTGTCTTTTCCCAATAAATCAGAGCAATTGTTTGTCTCTAAACTTGAGTATTAAATTACACATTGCAGCAGTGGGAGAGTAATAATACGGCTACTCAGAACTTCCATGATTTCCATGTCCATTTACACACCCACGCACTCATTCACTCATTCACTCACTTTGTGTATTCGTGAATGCGATGTGCTTAATTATGTTAAGTCCTACCCCATGTAAAGTCCCACATTTTGGAGGAGTAGGCAAACGTAACTGGCCAACTTTGATGATTAAATTTGAAATGTCTAATTGGAATTTGATGTGTGGACTGTGTGTGTGTGTGTGTGTGTGTGGGTGTATATGTGTGTTGACATTTGATAAATGCATTGGCCCTAAATAGCTGTCCAATTTAAGCTATAAGATCCCATGCACCCGCATCTAATTGCCATCGTTGACTTCAGTGCCAAGGATTAGATATTAATTAAAGTACATACATATGTACATATTAAGCTCCTATGACATTTGCATGCCTATCTCACAGTGTGTGTGGGTGCTCGTGTACTGTGTGGGTCACGCACAAGTTCACATATCCTTTGGCATGCCATATTCCTGTCCTGTATTTAACTCTAGACCCATACTGAGAAGCTGTAATGCGCATCCTGCGTGTGTCCATAATTATAAGCTTTTCAAATGCGATTAATCAACGCCCTGCGCGTAAATAGGCGTCTAGTGAGCCGATGTAAGTCAAAAAGAAAATATAATTTGAAAATAATATTTGTAGAAGCCTTGGCGCGCTTGAATGACGACGTTCAGAGGGAACTTGTGTGTTAAGTTTTTAATCATTTAATCATTTCCCTACAGACTGATTGACTGGCTGTGTTAAGGCATTTTGTGTCCGTGCTCTGGCTCGGGCATATTTAACTAACTAAAAGCCTTCTTTTTATTACATTTTTC